ATAAAATAATTTTTAAAATAAAAAATTTCAACTACCCAACCATCTTGAATTCCAGTAAGTTGGGTATGTGTCTAAAAATTCCAAGAAAAAAATAAAATTAAAATTTAATAATTACTAAATTAACATGCCGCCAATATAAATCTGTTGGAGGGTTTGACATTACCTTAAAAAAATTTTTTAAATTTTTCTTAAAAAAATTTTTTTAATTTTTTTAAAACCTAACGTCAAATACATTGGATTTTTTTAGAGCAAGTTTGGCTTTATTTCTCTTTATTTTTTTATCGATTTGTTCGCGCCCCCTCTAACACTATTTCCTTAAAATCTTTTCACAGCAAAAATGCTAAAAATCTCTACTCGGCTAAAAATAGTGGTCAGGGACGTTTCAGCTTAATTATTACAGAGTGGACGTTTTAGAGTGCCGTTTCAGAGTAGCTGTTTCAGCATAGCCGGTTCAAAGTAGCCTTTCATAGTAGTCGTTTCAGAGTAGTCGTTTCAGTGTAGCGGTTTCAGGGCGGCCATTTCAGAGTAGCCGTTTCAGAGCGGCCGTTTCAGAGTAGCCGTTTCAGTGTGGCTGAGAGCCAAAAGTTTTTAAAAATAAATTATCGATTGATTACCCGCCGGCCCGACTCGACACGGCCCCCGCTTCAGGCTACAGCCACCCCCGTGTCAAGAATTTCCCCAGGCCACATTTGATACCTTTTGGATTCTGATGCAATACTTTTGATCACCCAGCATCGACTTCGGAATCGCCTTCAGAATCGCCACAGAATCCTTTCAGAATCGCTTCAGTTTCCCTTCAGAATCGCCCTCAGAATCGCTTCAGAACCACTTCAGAATCGCCCTCAGAATCGCTTCAGAATCACTTCAGAATCGCTTCAGAATCGCCCTCAGAATCGCTTCAGGATCGCCCTCAGAATCGCTTCAGAATCGCCCTCACTTTACTTATCCCCCGCACTACTCCATTCAACCCCCACAACCTCCTATAGGATTGGGTTAACAAAGTATTGATTGATTAGAACAAGAGAGCCTGAAGAGACCGGTTATATGGGAAGAGAGTAAATTTTTTCTCTGACTTCTCTAACCCAATAATCGGTCTCTTCAGAGCCCTCTTGTTCTAATCGATCAATACTTTAATAATGGTAATATAGTAGTCATACAACGTCCCACACTTTCTATAAAAACTTTTAGAGATTATAAAAATATTAACCTTCTAAACGCTCATATTGCTAAGGAATTCAATAATCTCTATAATATATTCTTTACATCAGATAAGTATAGCTTCTTTGTACATTTTATTTTAGAATTAAGTAACCTCTATATTCCTATACGATCACTTACTATTAAGCCTAATGTAACAATTTATCCTAAATACATTAAACGTCTAATTGCTTCTAAAAATAAATTATTCAAAGAGCTTAAAAATAATAAGATACATCCATCTCAATACTTAAAATTTTGTAAAACTGTTAAACATATTATTAATAGATATAACTCAACTAGAATTAAGAAACTAGTTTCAAGCTCTCAGGGAATTCACAAATTTATGAAAAGATTTACAAAAGGTCACTCTCCAATTCCTTATTTAGAGCATAATGGATTATATACCTTTGAGGATAAAGCTAAATGCGATTTATTTGCCAGAGCTTTTGCTCCATCATTCTCAAATGTACCAATTCAAAACCATCCCATTTTACCTCCGTCAAATTATTCATCTCAGCTTGATGATATAGATTTTACGCTTATAGATATTGTTAATATATTAAAGTCTCTTCCTCCAAAAGAAGGTGTATCAGCAGACGGAATTAGCTATAAACTTTTAAAAAATTGCAAAGATTCTATTGCACCATTTCTGGCAGACATATTTAGGGATTCATTAGATTCTGGCATTTTACCAGAACCATGGAAAATATCATTCATTACCCCAATTTTTAAAAAAGGTTCCGAATCAGATGCTTCAAATTACCGCCCAATTGCTATTACATCATGCATATGTAGAGTCTTTGAGAGATTAATTTTACAACATATTTTAGCACACCTAGAGGCAAATAAAATTATTAGCGACCAACAGTTTGGCTTTTTAAAAAAGCGCTCGACTGTTACCCAGCTTTTGTCATCTTTTGACGCATGGTATAAAGCTATCTTAAATAATCAATGTATTGACTGCATCTATATAGATTTCAAGAAAGCATTCGATAGTGTTCCCATACGATACCTCATTTACAAACTCTCTAATATAGGCATTAAGGGAAAACTTAACTGGATTTCAAATTTCCTCTCTAACAGAACAGCTTTTGTTAAAATAAATAACAATTATTCCGATCCTATTCCTATTATGTCGGGTATACCGCAAGGAACGATAATAGGCCCAGTATTATTTTTAATTTATATAAATGATATTATCTACCGAATACCTTCCCCAGCCAAAACCATGCTTTTTGCTGACGACTTAAAAATATTTTGTGAATTTTCTGCAAATAGCGATAATGCTTGTCTCCAAGAATCACTTATTAAAATTGAAGAATGGTGCATCGATTGGGCTTTAGATATCTCTTTGAACAAAACATGTACTTTTCATATAGGCAAAAATAATCCTAGAAAACGCTATATCCTTTTTGGCACTATTTTACAGACTGTATCTTCCGTTACGGATTTAGGAATCACTTTTTCAGATAGACTCACATTTGAAGCATATTTATCTAAAATAATTAAAAAGGCTTACCATCGTTCTATTCTTGTTCTTAATAACATTAGTTCATCTAATCCTAAGATTCTTTCTTTAGCTTTTAAATCATACGTTAGGCCTATCCTGGAATACGCCTCCATTATATGGAGTCCTAAAACGAAAAAACTTATTCTAAAAATAGAACAAATTCAAAAATGGTTTACAAGGATTGCTCTAGCTAAATGCAAAATCCCTAAAATGAATTATGAAAATAGACTAAAATTTCTTAATCTAGAATCTCTGGTCCTTAGGCGTACTCTATTTGACCTTTCAACAATCTTCAGATTAACAAAAAATTTTACACATCTTGATCCGACTTGTTTTGTAGAGTTTTCCACGCGGCCTATCAGAAATAAACATAATCTACAATTACGAGTTCCTAAAAAGATATCAAAGACTGAACATTGGATTATAAATAGATCGTTAAATTTATGGAACATTCTTCCTGTACAAATTATCGATTCTCCAAATCCTAAATCTTTTTGGATAAACCTTAGAAATTATTTAATACAGAATAAAGACTTAATCAAGGACTTTATTGGCTACTTTTAGTGCAATTAATTTTAATGTTTTTTTGAGACTCTTCTGTCCTTTTTAATTTTGCTTACAAATTAAGACATTTTTCTTACCTCCATTTTATATGTTTTATGTAATTTATTTTTATTTTTAATTTTTCAATTTTTTTTCCATTTTAAGGCATTTATAATTTTTGACTTTGGGTAATATTATTTTTGACATTTCTTACTATGACAAGCAAACGTCAATATTCTATTGGAGGAAATTCTAACTATATGGAGGACTCTTTCCACAATTTCACCTCTGACTAAAAAACAACATTTACTTAATTCCATTTCATTTTTATAGTTTAACTTATGATATACATATATGAATTTCCTCCATCTTGTCTTTGCACACCCATTTAAATTTTCATAGTAATTTTTAATTGACTTTGTTTTTTATGCTTTGACTTTATTTTTATTGTCCTAAATTTAAGAGACGTACTTGTTACGCCCATTTTAGTGAATAAATTATTATTATTATTATAAGCGTATAAATTTAACTAGAGCCCGATTTCATCCTTTTTTTAGCATTCCTTATTTTGAAAGGGCAAGAAATCTTTCTGATTTATTGTGCTTTATTTTAAAAAAACCTTCCATCATTATGTGTGTAATAGAGATCGAGATTTTTGAAAAGCCTGGACCTGTTCCTGGACTCAGAGTCCTGTAGTTCAGGAAAAACTCAGGCCCAGAAAAAACCCAGGAAGGTCAAAAAATGCCTGGACTCAGGGTAAAGGAAAAACCCAGGCCTTGGTCCAGGCCCAGCTTGATCTCTAATGTGTGTAACAGCGTTTGGCTCACTAAACGAGGAAATATCCTCTTTACTACAATTTGTGTAAAATTCTAAAAACATTTTAAAAATAGGGAGAAGCAATACTTCGTAAACGTCATGTTTGTGTAAACAAATTAATTATTTCTCCATCTGTTCGTTTACAAGAAGAAGCTGATAAATCTTCTTTAACTTCAACATATAAAGCTAGCTTTTCCCTATTTGATAGACGCCCATTTGCAAAAAGACAAATTGTTTCGAATATTTTTTCTGTTCAAATTCCAGTTCGGGAAAGTGGAATTGTTGCTAAAGTATTCCAGAAAAGTGAGAGAAAAAATTAGGAACTTTTCCGTTATACGACCGCAAAACTGAGTGCCAGACGGCTTTTATCAGCTATAACTTTTTTTATGCTTGATCCAATACAAATGAATTTTATATCATTCGGAAGCCCTTGATAAGCAGTATTTTTTCCCAGTTGGTTGGATCAAGTCTGATCGCCCGTTAAAAAGTTACAAGTCGATAGGTGCAAAAAATCGTTGTTTTTCACACTTATCGACTTGTAACTTTTTGTGGAGTGATCAGACTTGATCCATCCTATTAGAAAAAAGATACCGCTTATCTAGGGCTTCCGAATGATATAAAATTCATTTCTATTGGATCAAGCATCTAAAAGTTATAACCGATAAATCTGCACTCTTGTTTGCGGTCGTATAACGGAAAATTACCAAAAAAAATTTTTTGAAAAAATTAATTTCTCTCTAAAAAAGGTCAAATCAATTCCTCAACAATTTTAATTCGTTCAAATTATCGTCAAAAAGAAGTTGCCCTTCAAATAATTTTAGAAAAATATTCTTTAACTTCAAATAATGTTATTTTAATTGGAAATGTTGAATTAGAATTATTGGGAGAGAAAAAACAAGATTTACTTGGAAATCGTTCATATTCTCATTTATTTGAGAATGGAGTTAGATTGGAATTTAGAACTGGAAATGTTCCGACTGGAGAAGTATTGAAAACTGAGTTAATTATTTTTTTAAATTTTTGTTTGTGACACCCTCTAATCTCATCTAAATAACCCCCACATATCCCGCCTCTATCTTATCTCAACCTTTCCATAGCCCGCAGTTCTTATCACACATTTCTCATTAATGAGCTTTTAGTTAACTTCCTAGAGAAGAGATAATTGGGAGGGCAACCAACAAGAAATGTGATAGATTTATTCTCTCTTAAAGTTCACTACCGGATGTACTTATTTGTGATGAAAGGTGGATTGGAATGTTGGCAATATATAGACAATTACTTTGTGAATGTCTTGCTAAATATGGAAATGTTTTTGCTGACAGACCTTGTAAAATTTAGAAAATAAATTGACGGGATACGAATTAAAATTCCATTTATGACTTATATGTATATGTAGGAGCATCTTAAATTTGTTTAGAAAAAGTATTTCGTGGTGTAGTGGTTTCGGAGTGTATTTTTATTTCCAAACCACCATGGTTCGAATCCTTTTGTCGGTATTTACATTTCTATTCATTTTTTCAACGAAAACTTCCCAAATTTTTAATCTTGTCTTTCAAAAAATCTTTTTTTCTAATTTTAAAGCAATCCTTGTTGACCCAATAATTGCAAACTTTACATTAATTCTTGACAAAGACCAACCCTTTGCCGAATTAATACTTAAATTATTACAAAAATATGGTGCTCTAAATGTGAGAATTTTTAAAAAATTTTAAAAATTATTAAAATTCAAATAGAAAGAAATAACCCCTCAAGAATCTGTTCGGCGTTTTCGACATGTTTGTAATCAATTTATGCTTCCCTCTTTAGCTTTAATAAATTCTGAAGGATGGAAGGAAAAAATAAAAAAATATTTAAATGGGGAAATTAAAGAAGAGCCTAATCCAATAAATTTATTGTCAACAGAGCCGTGTAAAATGATTAAAATTTCGGATTTTCAAATATTATTGTGTGGAATACATTCGCTCGATTAAATTTTTTATTATTAAAAAAGTAAGGCATTTAATAAAATTTTAGAAATAATCACAAAAAAATAGCCTGAGAAGAAAAAGAAAAAGGCAAAGAAGAAAAAATTAATTTGAAAAAAAAGAAACCGTAAAATGAGTGAAGTTTGTGGGGGGATACAGAAGAACCCCTTGAAAGGAAACCCCTAAATTTAAAATATAAGGAGCTCGTTCATGATCAAAGTCCTCAAGATACATAGTTTTAAATTACAGATAGAGAAAGAATGGGTTAGAAAATTAGAAAAGTAAATCACCGAATATTTGAATGAGAATATACACATATTCAGAACATACTCGAGATAGAATCGTTAACATAAAATAGTTTAAGGCATTATCAATTATTCTCTGTCAATTTCGCTGCTTTTTTGACTTGTTGTTGACGTTTCTCGACTACTTTTGCTTTTAGATTTTGCTGTTTTCATTTCAAAAGTTGGAGGGGGAACAACAAGCATTGAGGGAGAGGGCCATTTATTGAGTAATTTGTTGTTTTTGTTGTTATTTTCTGATGTATTTGTTGAAGGTAAAGTCTAAATAAAGAATAAAGTTTAGGTAATTAAAACTGTTTTTAAAAGAAAACATTTTGATTTAAGATCGGACCAAACAAATATTCAACGTCGGAAAATCCAAATTTTTTCAAATATAAAATAATTTACTCAAATATTTGATTTCGCAATCCAACCGATCTCTAATTTTGATAAGGAGAAAATTTTTCTAGTTAACGTTTATTTTCTTATCCTGACTCAAAAACCGACTTAAGGTACCAATTTATGATTTCTCCCTTAAAAGAGACTGGAAATTATTTAAAATTAAGAAATACCCAAACTCCGTTAAAATAAATTTAAAAGGAAATGTGCCACTCCAAAAACGTATGTTTCGAATTTTCTGGGTTAGATGGGGAAAAAGACATAAAGAAAAAAACAAAAAGACATCAACGCTTTGGAATAAAAACTTTTAATTATTTTTACTTTTTCAATATCCTCCAGATTAATATTTTCTTCTTGTTTTGTTGTTGTTATTGGCATTGAAGGTCTTTTCTTTTTTGAAAATAATCTTTTCATTGCATCAAATTCTTTTGCTTCTTTTTGAAAATTTGTTGATAATTGTTGTTGTTTTAAATTATTTTTATCTTCTTCTTTTTCCTCCTCCTCTCCTTCTTCATCCTCAAAATCACCCAAAATATCAGAAGAATTCGAATTTGTTTCATCTGTTGTATTATCTATTTCTAAAGAATCTCTTCTTTGAAGAACTGCTTGTCTCATCTTTTTAAATTATAAAAAATTAAAAATTAAATTAATAATTCAATTACCAAATATCGTTCTCTTCTAAGTTGTTTAATTATTTCTGTAGGCATATCTGGTATTATATAAGCAAACATTGCTTTAATAGTTAGTACAATTAACTGGGAAAAATTTAAAAAAAAAATATTTTAAAAAACTTGAATCTGTAAATTATTTTGAATTTAAAGAGATTAATTTCTATTTTAATTTAAAAAGTGAGGCTGAATATATTACAATTGAACCAACTTTTTAATTAAACACAAAATCCCCCAATATACATTTTTTAAATTTGATTGTTGAAGGGGGGTCTCGACTTACTATATATCACTCCACAATAGTAAGTCGAGAGTTCCCTATCGAATGGTACCAAAAAATTATCAAATTCGCACTGACAGTAAACGATGTTCCCTTGTGAGTGGAGGGCCTATCTAACAATAAACGAAACTCCCAATTTAAGTACACCAGCCCATTATAAAATTTTATTTTTCTGCCCCAAGTTCGAATGTTTTATGTTAGACACAAAAAAACTAAAAAAATAACAACTTTACTTCAAAAACCAAAACAAAAGCAAGTCTAAAAGCCAAAATAATCCACCAACTATCAGTAAATTCATAATTTTCAGCACAAGGAATATCAAATGTAAAATTATAATTTTCGAGAGAACAAGGAGGTCTTTAAATTATAAATAGAAAATTTTTTAAATAACTAAAAAACCTTCTCAAATCCCAATATCTACAATAATTTTGTGTTGGATACCCAGATTTTTCAAATTCTAATTTTGAAGAATCAAAATAAGAAAGTGTTTCATTTACATAACTTTAACAAAAAAAATTTTTAAGAAAAAAAACTTTTTTAAATTAAAAGAAAAACCCGTGTAAAGTCCCTTGTGTCATTCTATAATAAATTTTAGGTATAAAATCAGAAGTAAAAGCAATTACAAAAGCATTGCATAATACAGCAATATTTGAAAGCATATTTATTATTGTCTAGAAAAGAGAAAAATTATTGTTCGAGAGAACTTTAAAAATTAAAAAAAAAACAAAAAAAAATAGGGAGATGGATGAGAAACCTAAGATTTCGAGGTTATAGAAGATTCGGTCTAATTAACTGACAAATGGAACCATTTTGGGTGGAAGTGTCGGATCGATCTGAGTTTTTTAAATGTTGTGGGTCTCATTAGGTTTCTATTGTTGTTAGAAATTCCTTAGCAATCGATCAACAAAAAAAGATCAAGTCTTTGATTATAATTCAACTTATTTGTTAGGTGCGGATATACAACATATCCCCCATCTGCCCCAAAAGGGTCCTCCTTGCCAGTCATTTAGATCGAACTTTGTGTATCTTCAAAATTTCATTCTAACATATATTGTTTCCTATTCCATTTTAAAACAAACTAGCCATTCTTTCTTTTAGAAAGAAAAATATTTTTTAAACAAAACTTACAAGCCAAACACCAATATTTCTAGATTGTGCAGGTACAGGTCTTCTCATAGTCACAATAAATTTATAAGCATCAAAACGAATTTCGAAAATATTATTAATTAAAGCTAAAAGTGGAGCTAGAGGAAATGCTGCCACGAATAATGTACAAAATCCAAGTTGTATAACCATCTCTAAATATTCGTCAAAAAGAAATTGTTGAGAGACGGGGTTTAAGGCATAATCCTTAAAAATAAAATATAAAGTTAAAGACGCCTTTTAGGGTTAAAAATTCTCTAATAATGAGAGGACTTAAATTAATGAACGGTGCGGGGCAATCTCGCACTTTTTTCAACTTGCTGGATTTTGTGGGAGTGCGGGATTATTCCCACGGGATCCCGTCCCACAGATTTAAAAAAAATCCCGCATACGGGATCCCGCAAACGCGATTTTGCCAGTCTCTCCTTAAATTATGTTATCGAGTAGTTAACCCCTTCTCCTCAATTCTATGAAAGTTAAAAGACAATAAATAATTAAATATTCCAAACAAAAACACAACCTTTTCACACAAACAAACATTAGTATCAGGCGAATGTTCCTTCTCTTTTTTAATTCTTTCAATTTTTTGTTGCTCAGTTTCAGGCTTTGAAAGTCTCCAACGTCTAAACCAATAACAAACCATCCTTAAAAAAATTAAAAAAAATTTTTTTCAGAATTTCAATTTCCCTCCTTACGGATATGCCAATTCAATAAATCCATTAATTGCTTGTTTCCCAATCATAATAACAATTAATTGAATCATCAATTCCACCATACAACCAGCAGCCTCACACCTTTCTAAACGAATATTTCCAACTTTGAGTTCATGTGGATCTGCATATCCTCCTGTTGAATTTGTGGGAGTTCCTGGAATACCTGCAAATCTAAAAAAATTAAAAATAATTTTAATCTCAAATTTAAATAAATACCAAACCTTCCTTTAAAGAATGCAATGTAAAACAATGATGAATAAAAATTGACAAATTGAAAAAGAAAGACTGAAAAAAGAAAGCTAGTAGAAATTGTATTTTATACTTCACAAATTTATTCTGATTATAAGGACATTGGGACTTCAAAGTATTTTATTTAAATTTGCTTTTATAGATATTGTGGATGATGTTTTTAAGCTATAACCAGATCTCTTTTCGAAAAAAATGATTGGACATTTAGGACTTAATGTAGACATTAATTCCCGATTCTACTTAACCGTGCTGTATATCTTTTATGTATATCCTTTATGGATATAAATCAGGAGTGAATTTTCTTCCGCTTCTGCAGAATTTGCCTTTTTTGACCCTTCCGCTTTCGTCTACCGCCTTTGTATTTTATTCAGCTTTCTTTCGCTTTTTAAAATCCAAAATTATCCATCCCTGATATACAGCACAGTTAAATTTTTTGAAAAGAAGTTGTTTCAACTAATAATTATCAAAATATTGATTTATAATGACATAGTACTTTTAAATTTAAATAAAAAAAATTAAAAACCTTTAAATGTAAAAGAATTATCAAATTCACTTTGAGTTCTAGGATATTCCCAATTTGTTAATTTATAAGCCAATTTATTATAAAAATAATTCATACTCATAATAAATATTAAATTAATTAAAGCAGCTGTGGCGGAAGTAAATATAACTGCTTGCGATTGAATAAATTCGCTGTTTTCTCTAGCATTAAAAACACCTCTTACAATTATTCTATAAACAATAATTCCAAATAAGAGGGCAATGACCAAACAAATCTATAAAATTTAATTTTTAAATTATTGGAATAGAGGAGGTTAAATTAATTAATTAAATGTAATTAATTTTTTGAATTTTTAAATGGCCCTTTAAATGGTAATTTTCGAGGACCAGTGAAAAGGATCATGCGAAAAGGATTAAGGAAAAGGCATTCGGTGATAAAAATTATTCATAAAAACAAATAGGCAGTCTCTTATATAATTGAAAAGTTGAATGCCATAATTTTAAAATAAATCATCTTTCACTCTGCCTGGCGAGCAGAGTTATACGAACTTTAATATGAACTACTTAAAAAGCTGGGTAAAAAACTAAAAAACATTATTTCTAATTTATTAAAGTCCAAACCCTCAATGAAAACTGTTTTTCAAAACTAAACTTTAGCATCAAAATTTGTGGAAACCAAGAAAACTTAACATCTTCGGTCAGAATTAAAATCGAAAAGCTTTCTAAAAACTAATAATTTAAGTAAAAGAAAAACAATTCTACACCGATTCTCTTTCCAAAAAATTTTTAAAAACTTACAAAAAATAAAACAGTTATAGCCGATCCAAAAATACGAAGAGCTTTTTCTGCAAGTGAAATATAAGGCTCCTAAAAATTAAAACAAAATTTAAAACAAAAAATACTCAAAAAACCGCTTCTTTCGTCACTCTATTAATTTTCATTTTTGCTCTCTTATAATATTGATATTCTGGTCTAATAACTTCTTCATCAGGTTCATACCCCAAAACATTCCATTTATAAGCCAATTCTGCATGATATCTTTTCCATAATTCAACAAATACAGTCATCCAAATAGACATTATAACAGTAAAAGCAATTGTTGCATAATTGTCAAAAACATATGCCGCCTGAAATACTTAATTGTTTCTTTAGAAATTTATTTAAAAAAATATTTATTTAACAATTTTCATAAGGGGCTTTATTGGCCCCAGAAGCCCCTACACCCTTTATAAGGGGCAAGGGCGTATCCAGGGGGGGCTAGAGCCCCCCCCCCCCCCGAAATGGGGGAAAGGGGGAAAAAATTAGGAGAAGGATGGTCGAAAAAGTGAAATTTTTTCGCCTACAACCCTCAAATTTTAAAAAATTTTCGCCTGCGGCGCAAAAAATGGAAGAAATCTGGCTGCTTGAGCTCCAAAATCCTCAAAATTTTCGCCTGCGGCGCTAAAAAGTGAACTTTTTTGGCCTACGGCCCTCCAAATTCAAAAAATTTTCGCCTGCGGCGCTAAAAAGGAAGAAGTCTGGCTTCTTGGGCTCCAAATTCCAAAAAATTTTCGCCTGCGGCGCTGAAAAAGTGAAATTTTTTGGCCTACGGCCTTCGAATTTAAAAAAATTTTCGCCTGCGGCGCAAAAAACTGAATTTTTTTGGCCTACGGCCATCTAAAATTAAAAAATTTTTCGCCTGCGGCGCTGAAAATATAAAAAGTTATGTACAAAAAAATTTGCCGTAGGAACGCCAAGGTAAACGCCAAAAATTTTTGCGCCCACTCAGTGTTAGCCCCCCCCCCCCCCCGAAACCGACCCCCTGGATACGCCCTTGATAAGGGGCACAAAAATATTTACCAAGTGGTCTATAACTAGACTTATGAAAATCGGAAAAATCAACCTGTTCTTTATGCTACCTAAGTTAGTTATGCCTAAAGTACTATTATATAAGGGCTCATTGAAAGAACGGTATGCTCCCATTTCAGAATAAACCGATAAGGAAGGTAGAAAAACTTCTTTAAATTTATAGTGAAACAATCAGAAAAAATACTTTTGAATTTAAAATAATTTTTTAATTATCTATAAAAATCAGTTTTTGTTTAAAATAACAAAGAATAAACAAAATTAAGAAAATTTGAAATCAAAAATATTTTTTGCTAATTTATTTATTAAAATTAGGGAAAGACCAATTTAGAATTACAATTAAACTTAAAATTAAAGAAAACCTTTGAGTAAAGACAAGTACTGTTTAAAGGAATATAATCACAAAATTTTTCACAAGCAGGACAAAGTAATTCTTGAGACACAGAGCCATCTGGTCCATAACAAATATCATTACTTGAAATATCTGTGCTCATAGTAAAAAGTCCATAAATAACGCAAATAACACCCAAAATTGAAATAGGATATAAACAACGAGTATAGAAGCCTAACCAAGCAAAATAAAAAGCAATTTTTGTTCCATAATATTTTTGAATTCTGTGAGGGGAAAAATTGAAATAAATTAAAATTTTAAAAAATACTTACAAATCTAGAGGTTGATATTTAACGAGATTTTTTAGTTTAACCCATGTTTCGTATAACAATTGACGATCACTGGGGCATGTTGAATAATCATCGGTTTTTGAAGAAGTATCCAATTCCTATTAAAAAAGTAGTTTAAAAAAGGAGGGAGCAGGCAAACGTACCGCAAAGCCATAACTTTATTCAAAATAGTCGAATCCGGGACCCTTACTATAGTTAGATGCAACTCGACGAGCTGAATCGAACAATATCAGGGTGTCACGGATTCGACCATTTTAAATAAAGTTAAAGCTCTGCGGTATGTTGACCTCGCGGTACGTTGGGTGTACCAAAAAAAGGAATAAATTGATTAGTTGGGTTAGAAAAATATTTGAAAGTCTCTAAAAATTACTATATTCTAAAAATTTTATGTTGCGGCATTCGAATGGGTTTTGGACATTTCGAAATATAAAGAAAATTTTATACGTTCTATTCTTTCAAAAATATTTTCTAGCTTATTCTTTTTTTAATTAAAAATTTTCCATAACCTCATGAAGTGGATAAGCAGCAGAATAAGTATTATTTCTAATAAGCCTTTCAATTCCAAAACGCATTTTGTCTACTCTATTCCCTCTATCATAACGTGTTCTAATTAATAAATCATAGACCATACGAGCACGATCCGCTCGAGAAAAGAAATTGTCGGGATTTTCCCAATTTACAAAACTGGAAAAAATATTTATTAAACGGTTGGTTGCCCTCTTCATCTTTTAGAAAAATCAGCTTTTGACTCCAAAAATACGAATTTAAAATTAATTAATCTTAGTGTAGGATACCAAAAATTCATTTTCCAATTTAAATATGAGGAAAACTGTGACACCTGCATCAAAAAACTTATGGTTAATTCAGTATTAATCGCTCCTAACAATAAGTATTGAATACTTGCCAGTTATTTCTAACAAAATAGATTTTTAATTAAAAAAGGAGGTAAACCTAAAAAAATACAAAAAATCAAACCAATGTAAATGTTGAGCTACAAAAGGCTGACAAAAATATTCTTCTGTTTCTATTCGATTTTTAAGCGATTCTTTATGATTAAGAAATTTAATTCTTTTTAAAATTGAATTTATACAACCATCCATTAAATTAACTTCCTAAAATTTGTTTTTTAAATCCAAAAAAACTAAAAACCTTTTTAACATCATTTCTATGTACAGGCATCCTAATCATTAATAATTCTGCTTGTTTCATTAAAACACGAAAGGGAGCATGGACAAGTATAAATTTAACATTTCCTTGCTTAAATTTAAAAGAAAAATTAAAAAAGGAAAATTTTATGAAAATAGAATTGAGAAGAAAATAAAAAGAAAATGAAGATCAAAAAATAGTTGAGGAAATATTTTTAGGGAATCTGTTTAAGGAAATTTGTTTAAAATTGTTTATATTTTAAAAGTCACTCAATAGAATTTCTAATAAGCTTACACGGAGAGGTTGCGAGGTGTCCGACCTAAAAACGGTCGAGACCGGGCTCATTCGATAGACACCTCGCAACCTCTCCGTGTTAATTTAAAGAAAGCTTAATTTAAAAAATTTATTTAAGTGAAATTTCTCTAGGTAGAGAATAAGAGCTAGCCAAAATAGAAAAAAATCTAAAGAATAGATAAAAATTATTGACTGATTAAAAACTATTTCGAAAAATGCATATTTCCTTAAATCTTAAAAATCCATATCTAGTATGGAAGGTGTATGCAATCCCGGACAAAATTTAAAATAAACTTCCAAACCTTCGAAGTAACATATTCAAGTTCTAAACCAAGTGCTTGCATATTACTCTCAAAAATTTGTCTTTTCTCCATTTGTTCATCTCCTGAAGATTCTTCTTTACTTTCATACTCATCCATAGCCTTTACTTCATATGCCAAAACAAAATCTATTAGTCTTTTACCATCGGAAAAATAGGAGGACTGTCTAAAAGTATAGAAAAATATATTATTTATTAAATTACAAAAAATGAGGTATGTCAACAATATCCCCAATAATGAATACCCTCAATATTACGGACAATTCTTAAGTCTAACTTTAATTAAATTTTGACGAGTAAATTCCCTCCATAATACATAACCCTTCAATAAAACAATTTTTATAAAACATAACTTGTTGTTGTTTGGAACAATCCTCGCCTATTCACATCGACACCATTTGAATGTTCAATTTTGTCTGTAATTTTGTCATTCCTTTTCATCTCTTCAAGCTTAAAAAGAAAAAAATTGAATTAACTAAAAAATAAAATTTACCAACCTGAAAACATTCCTTGTCAAATCCGACTTTATTGGATTTATTGGATTGATTTGTATCTGGAAATATATAAACAAATTTATTTAAAAATTATATTTTTGCGTAAAACTAATTTAGATCTTCAGTTAAATTTGGAAAAAAACAGTTGACGTTTCTATGAAAAGTAAAGAATAATTAGAATAAAAAACTAAAAAAGGAAGATGTAAAGTAAGTGAGGTATAAAATTTAAATTTGGTAAAGCCTACAAGGTGCTAATTATTTAATGATGAGGGGAGAATAAGAGATATTTTAATTATTCTTAGAAAAAAATGCGGAATACTAAATATTTTTAAACCAAATAAAAATTCATTTTAAAAATGCTTCATCCATTTTTATGACTAATCAGAAGAAAAAAATAGTAAAAATACGGGGAGAATGACCTTGGAAAAGCGTAAAAAGGAAGCGATCACCCCAATCAATTATTTACAGTGAATCGACAATTTTTTTTAAACGTTTCCCCTTTTCTTTAAAAAAATAAAAAAAATACCTTTATTTTCATTTTGTAACATAATTTCAGAATCATCACATTCAACAGGTATTTTAGCATGTAATTGTTTTCTTTTTGAATTCATTACCCTTTATTTTAGAAACCAAAAAAGATGTTAAATACCTCCCTTGCCTTTTTTCAAGTCCTAAAAAAGAAAATAAAAAATAAAAGAATTAAAAAAAAAATTCTTTAGTAAAATCAGCTGACTTATTCTCACTCTTTCATTATTCTCAGAAAATAGAAAATCAAAACATTTTCTCTCACAAAATTATGTTGTCTATTAAATTAAAAAACCACTATATGTATTTTCACCAGACGTGGGCGAAACGTTTCGTTTCGTTTCGTTGTTTCGTATGTTTCGTATGATTTTTACTGTTTCGTCTCGTTTCGTTACGAAACACTTTTAAATTTGTTTCGTTTCGTTTCGTTACGAAACACCTGTGATTTTTCAACGAAACGAAACAATTTTTTAAGCCTAAACTAAGGCCAAAATCTATAAAATTTACCATCTTTTATTGAAAATTTAAAAAATTTTCGCCTGCGGCGCTGAAAAAAAAAGAATTTCGGCTTCTTGGCTTTCCCAAATTGTCAAAATTTTCGCCTGCGGCGCTGAAAAAGGAAGATAGCAATTACTTATATACTACAAATCCGTTTATACTCCACTCCCTAATCCACATATACATATTACTTAATCGACGACAAATTCTATTACCGGACTCGCATCATAATTTAAAAATTGCGGATTGCGAGTTGCGGAAATACTGGAACCGGAACTTCCGGCGAAGCACTAGCTTATATCGCCTTCCTCTCGAAATGGAGATATGGAGACAATTTGGGTAGGCAATGGAGCAAGATGGTGAATTTTTTGGCCTACGGCCTTTCAAAATTTTAAAATTTTTCGTCTGCGGCGCTTAAAATAAAATTTTACTTGAAAAATATTCAATTTTATTTAAAAAAAAAGCGTCGCCAAAAATTTGGCTTCGAAAATGATTGACCCCCCCCCCCTTCCCCGAAAATTTTCCTTGCTACGGGCCTGGCTTATGGGACACAATTGTTGTAAATAAACCAATAACTAAATCATTTATAAGTCATAGTCGACTAATAACGTATTTGAGGTCGAATAATTTCGAAATAAATGCAGTTTTGAAAATTTTTTGAATATTAAAATGTTTCGTTTTGTTTCGTTTCGTTTCGTAAGATTTTGGTTGTTTCGTTTCGTTTCGTTAACGAAACGATTTTTAAAAAATTTTGTTTCGTTTCGTTTCGTCAGAAAAAAATTTTGAGTTTCGCCCAGGTCTGATTTTCACACTAACAAAGTAAAGGACTTTTAAATACTTTTTAGTGAAAGTCTAAAAATAAAGAGAGCAAGAAAAATGATTTTTTTGCTTTGCTGTGATGATTTCCCTAGATTAATTTAACAATAAGTCATAGTTCTTACTAAAAACCGGATACTTCGAAAAATTTGATTCTGATACACCCCGATGTAACGCGAGCCCGACGTACCGCAGAGCTATAACTTCGTTAAAATTATCAAATACGGGATGCCTTGGTATGGTACGATGCGCCTCGGTGTTCTAAATCGAACCATACCAGGGCGTCCCGGATTCGATAATTTTGAACACAGTTATAGCACGACGGTACATTGGGCTCGCGGTAAATTGGCCTGCTCCCCTATTTTGTGTTAAGAAAAAATTTTTATGAAAATGTGTTTAAAAAATTAATTGGATAAATAATTAACCCAATAAATTAAAACAATCAAATCTTAAAAATAATTTCTTTCAATTTATTTAAAAAATAACAAAATAATTTAAAAACAATAATTTTTTTAAAATAATTTTTTTCCTCAAATTTTAAAACTCTGTAACGGATCAGCCATCTTCTTTTGAAAATTTCTTTTAGCAAAATTCTTTTCAGTTTTTTGTCTATTAAATTTTCTTCTTTTTTGATTTTCTCCATCTTCATTAGTTTTTCCTTCTTCATTTTCAACAAAAAATTGTCTTCCCGATCTTTTCCTTTTTCTTCTATTATTATTTAATATATTTGTTGATTTATATGTTTCAGAAAATTTTTGACCTCTCAAAGCTTTTGGAACTTTAATTAAAAAAATTTTTTTTAGAAATATTTTCCTAAAAGTTTCCACAAACCTAAATAATCGGGAACATCTGCTATTGCTGGGCTGTGTATTTTTAATTTATATTGCTTTTTATCTTGTTCAAAGGCTAATCTTTCACGAGGATTTTTTTCAAAATAAGCATCTAAACGTTTTGATTTGAGTAATTCGTCTCGAATTTCTGCCATTCTTGTCTGAAAATTAAAAAGAATTTAAACAAATTTTTTAAAAAATACCTCTCTAATAACAGCACGTGTACAAGCAGCTAAAACTTCTCTAGCTCTTAACTGAAATCCTTCAAAATCCTGCATACGGACTTGATAAGGTCGAAGGACAGGTTGGCCCACTAAAATAAAGGAAAATTTTTAAAATTAACATAAAATATTTGGAAGGGTTTTTAGGCGGTTAGAAAAAAACCAAAAAATTAAAATAAATCTTCTTACTTCTTTCATTGACTTCTTGTCTAATGTGTTCAAACAATGCCTGCTCTGATAATAAACAAAAAGAAATTGCTGTTCCTTTGTTAAATCCTCTTGCAGTTCTTTAAAAGGTTATATTAAAAATAAAATTTTATTCAAAAAAAACCTTCCAACTCTGTGCACATACATATCCGTAGACAAAGGAAAATCAAAATTTATAACATTTGGGACTAAATGAAAATCAATTCCTCTGCCTATTCCTGATTCTTTGTCTAAATGTCGTTTTTTGTTTTTCTTTAATTCTTTACGTTTTTGCTGAAAATATTAAATAAATTTTTAAAATTAACTAACAAAAAATTAAATGTAAGAAAAATTGAGTGGCATCAAGGATAACCAGAAAAACTTCCAAAAAAATCCAGTCAAAAATCGTCGAGAGATCAGAATCCGCTCAAATATGGGTTATAAAGATCGAGATTCTTCAGTTATTGACCTGTATTATTATCGACCTCAAGTTCGATCTTCATATCTAATTACAAAAATGTGTCAATTATCACCTACCATAGTGTTCCTCAACCCTTATTTAGTTACACTATAACTTCTAAACCCTACCTTATTTTTCTTTCCTTTCAAATTTTCTTCTGCTTCCTGAGAATCATCAAAAATATCATTACATTCAGATGCAATCAAAAAAGGCCATTTTCCTTGATTAAATTCGCGAATAACTCTACAGCGAGAATTTGTTGGCATTTGAGCATTTAAAACACAAGAAGGGACTTTAAATGCTTGCAAAAATAAATAAAGCCTAAAAATTGGGAGAAAAAATAAAAAAATTTTCACAAAAAATTACAAACTTGTAACAACGGTCAACAGTAGAAACAAAAACGACAGATTTACCAACTAGCAATTTAAGTTTTATTAGAGCCATTAAAATTGTAAAACGTTCCTCATCATTTTGGCAAGAAATGTGAAACTATCAAAAAAAAATTTCTAAAAATTAAATGTTCTAAAACCTGCTCTAATTGATCAGTTCCAGGCAAATCTCGTTCTTTTAATTTAAGTGAAAACATCTTCCCTTCAACAAAAGTTTTTTGAATTTCACTAAGATCTTCTTTAAGAGTTGCAGAAGTCATTATTGTTTGAAATCGTTTAGGCAAAAGTGTTTTTAATTTTCTGAAATTTAATTTACAGTTAGTTTATATAAGGGAGCCTCTCGGCAATCCCTGAGAACAGGGGTAAAAAAATTTTTGAAAATAAGAAAAAGAATTTTTCTAGAGTAAAAAAATGTGTTGATTACGAATATGAGCTCGGATTTTGAAAAATTCGGTTCGGGTTCGGGACTCGACTTTTTCAAAATCTGAGCTCAGATTCATAATCACCACATTTTTCCCAAGAAAAATCCTTTTTCTTATTTTTGAAATTTTTTCGAAGAAATCCCTATTCTCCGGGATTGTCAGCCTTCCAGTTTACGAAATTTACTTCATTTCATCCTGATATCCATAAGAAAATATTAAATCGGCCTCATCAAGTACAACAGTCCGAATTCTATCCAATAAACCAGGGTTCTTTTCCACAACGGCCAATAAACGTCCAGGGGTTCCCAACAAAATATCAAGTAAATCATCATTTAAAGTTTGATTCTCATTCGGATCAAGATAATGAACTAAATCGAGAGCTTGAATAAAAGGAAATGGAGCAATTAATTGTTGAAGTTGAGTGAATATTTGAGAAGTTAATTCTTTTGTTGGGGCAACAATAAGAACATAAGGACCTCGCATGTCTGCAGACGGCCTTTCCTAGAAAATTAGTTAAAGTTTCAAAAAATACTTTAAAAATCAAACAATATTCAGCTGCAAAATATTCTGAATAAGAGGAAGTAAAAACGCCGCAGTCTTTCCACTTCCAGTGCGTGCTCTAGCAAGAACATTCTTTCCACTCAAAACCATTGGAATCATTGAGGCTTGAACTGGCGTAGGTGCTTCCCAATTCATTTCTGCAATCATCTAAAAAATATTTTCAATTAGAAAAATAATTTTAAATAAAAAGATTTAAACCTTAATTAGCCTGTCATCAAAATCGAATTTCGCAAAAGCATTATCAGAAGCTACATTTTTAGATTCTTTGTCCATTTTTTGCTCAATTCTAAAAAGCAAAATTAAAAAAATAAATGAAATTCTTTTGAGCGATATGACATTTTTGCTTTTTGACATTATGAAAATTTAATTGAAATTTATGTTGAATTGTCGAAATTTAATTTGTTCATAAGGCGAAATGTCAACAAATTTTTGATTTTTCTTGATTTTTGAGCTAGTGTTTAGGTTTCTCTTTTAAGACTTTATGCTTTAGTTCAGTTTTTGTTCTAGAGGAAAAAGTTGATCTTATGAAACTCGGTTTAGACAAAACTCGGTTAAAAATTCTGCATTTTCAATGGACTTGGGTCTTTTTGGCGCATGTGATGTTTTCCCCGTTGTTGGAACAACTTTTCCTGTAATCGGAACAACATTTTCTTTGGTTGGATCTTAGTTGTAATAACTTGTAACAAATAAGACCATCACTCGTGCCAAAAAGATATGGTTAATTGAAAATGCAGTTTTTTCTTTAATCGAGTTTTGGTCGGACTGTTATGCCCTGGCACTGTATTTTTAACTCTACAACCATTTTAACATTTTTAAAATCATTTTAGATTTATATTTGTTTTCATTTTAATTAAATAATAACGAAAAATAAAAATGGCAGAAGGAAACGAAGAAGTTAATCCTAAAGTAAATTTTTTACTTTTTAGCATTTCAATCTCTCAATTTAGGCTTATCCTTTGGCTGATATTCAACTTTCTCAGAAATTGTTGGATATTGTTCAACAGGCAATGAACTATCACCAATTGAAGAAAGGTGCAAATGAGGCAACAAAAACGTTGAATCGTGGCATTTCTGAGGTTCGTATACGTTATCTAGCGTTTGTTAAACTAAATTTTAGTTGATTGTTATGGCTGCTGATGCTGAACCGCTTGAGATAATTCTTCATTTGCCACTTCTTTGCGAGGACAAAAACGTTCCGTATGTTTTTGTTAAGAGCAAGGCAGCGTTGGGACGTGCTTGTGGAGTTACTAGACCAGTAATTCTTTTGATCAGGAAATTTCTAACCAAAAAATTTAGGTGATTGCTGCTTCGATTACGCAAAATGAGGGATCTCAGCTGAAATCACAGATCCAACAAATTAAAGAGGATGTTGAGAAACTGTTGATTTGATAACTTAAATTGATTTTTGATTTGTTTTTGATTGTTAAGTTTGGTATATTTTCAAATTAAAACTTTGTTTACTTTGAATTTGTTGGCTTCTTTAACGTTTTTTGCGTTTTAATCATTTAATTTTGATTTTTGAAAATAATTTTATTGGAGAAAAAGTGATGAGTTTTGTTCCTGGTTTGAATATTTCAGATTCTAAGAAGGTCCCTGATCCTGGTACGATTGTTGACACAGTAGCTGAGATTGCTGAAGAAGCAGAAAAATGTAAGGTTTACTTTTTGTCTAAAGACGTTTAAAAAATAAAATTTTTAGCCAGTATAAGTTCAAGATTTGGCTTTCAATTTGATGATGATCCTGAGACCTTTATTGAGGTTGTGTTGAGGTTTCTTTGGAGTTTGGTAATCGATTACGGGTTCTACGTCGTTTGTGGATTGTCTTTATATTCACTTATTGTTATGTTAATTAAGAAACGTTACATGGCTGGAATTGTCAATCGATGGAGTAAGTTTTTACCTTTATTTAATTGATTTAATGCCTGAGATATTGAGTTTCTAAATATAGCTTTTTAATAAGGGCAGAGCTAATAAGGAAATGTTGCGAGATCTCCGACCTAAAAACGGTCGAGATAGGGCTCATTCGTTAGAGAATGTGTGTTTTTTTTTGAGCACAATAAGGCCCTTTTTTAACTTCCTTTAAATGATATTTTTTAGAATTATATCTTAATTATCGTGGAACGTTAAAAAGGATGAGTTTTCTATTAGAAAGGAACTACAAAATTGAACTCTGGAGTGATCAAGAATTTTGTAAAAGTTATTTACAGGTATAAATAAATTATAATTTTGTATTAATTAATTTTTTAGTTGTATGAATCATTCCGTTTCTTTCGTTCAATGGCAAACAGAGACCACAAAGGAGATTCTATTATCGATGATATTAAGCAACAGGCGGAGGCTTATCCACTTTACCCATTTTTTAATGTTGATTATAATTTGCGTGATCGACTTTTGTATGCACTTGAAGGGGTTGATTGGGTTGGCAAAGACGAGGACGAGGAGGTTATTTTTGTTAGATTATTTCAGTTCTTGACATTCAAGGGCCCCTATAAATTTTGTTTTCGACTGTATTTTGTAACATAATTTTAAAACCAAAACTACAAAATGGGCTGGACATAATAACAAGGGAACTGGGGAAAAAGCAAATTCTCGGATTTGTATTTCTTTTTATTTTAGGAATTGACCGCTAAAAGTTTAAGTGAACTTACTGCTAAAAGTACTGGTGCTGATAGGGAAACTAGTTCTGAAGAATTTGTGGATGGATTAAAGAAACGTCAAAGAAGCAACGCTGAAACCGTTACTGCGAGGGATACAAAAAGCGACAGATCGGTAGAAAGCAATTTTGAGAAGGGAAGTAAATTTGATTGAATTTGGAATAATTATTGAACATATCAGAATATTTAATTTTATTATATTTTTGCTAAGTTACGGGTATTAAATTTCTTTTTGTTATTTTTTTGAGAGACTTGTTTACGTGCAAATATTATTTTTTAAATTTATTTTTTACTTTGTAACCTTCTTTTTGCCTTTTAGAACATTTTTGTTTAACAAATCTCAATTTTTTACTTTATGAAAAACTTTGCATGTTTTAATGGATATGATTTATCTTCATCCGATTCGGATACATCTACTCACAGTGCAGCTACTCAGGATGAGTCTATGCCTTGTTCGAGTAATCGAATTGATTCTGATGAAGAAGTAATTTTGTAAAATTTGTTTCCTTTTTAATTGTTTTCTTTTAGGACCAACAACTTCCGCAACAGAACGTGAATGGAGGGGGACGAGTGGATGAGGTTTATTGTATAATTATCGAAATCTATAAATGTTAAGGTTTTTGTGGTTGAGAAAATTTTGGCAAAAAAGATAATAGATGGTATCATTTATTACAAAATCAAATGGAAAGACTATGATAGGCCTGAGGATGACACGTGGGAAGAGGTTGATTTTTGTGCTTTAAATATTTTATTTAATTAGATTGATAATTGCCATTGTGTTGACCTGATTAAAGAATACGAGGATTCTCACAAGAATGACAAAGTGCAAGTTATCTCAACTAAACCTCAACGAAAGGAGACTCGTGGAAGGAAGCGCAAATTTCGCAAAAGCATGGTATTTTTTAGTTTGTAATAATTGAAAATCCTCCTTTGATTTTTATCCCATTATGTTTGGTCGGGTTAATTTTTCCTTGCAGGATTAATAACGTTAATTTTAGCTAAACATCTTTTGGTAATCCTTTGGTTTAGATCCTCTCTTTTTTCCTGTTTGCATGACCATTTTATGCTTTTTTCTTGAATTTAAAAGAACCCTTTGGGCTGGTCAATTGTTAATAAGATCAGTTAGATTTGATGATTTGGGACAGCTACGAAGCTGGTTTTGTGCCGATTTTTTGATAAATATTAAACTTTCCTATACATTTTTTAACTAATTTTTTAATATTTTTTAGACTAATGTCATCGCTAAAAAACAAAATGTTGACCACACTTCCAGACAAATACCTTTCGGTTTTAATTTTCTTCAACTTAATCTAGCATCTAAATTTTAAGTTGAAAAAGAAAATTATTTCTTAAACGGAAAAGGTATGGTAGTGGACACAATTTTGGGATTTAGCAGATTACCTGACAATGGGAAGACGATGGCTTTGGTTTAATTAAATTATTTTTAATAATTTTTAAAGTTCTCTTAAGGTTTGTTATTTGGATGGACAAATCGAGTATATCCCTGTTGATTTATTGCGTAAAAATGAAAGTGGAAAGGAGGTTTATTTTTTTTGTAGAAATTTTTTCGGGTTTTAGGACTTTTAAAAATTTTAATCTAGCAATAAACTTGTTAAATTGAATTAGGTAAATGGAAAGAAAATTTGTCTAGGGGGAAGTTCTTTCCTCTCTCTCCTTCGAAACTAACAATAAGGCTTTCATTTCTTCGGGAATTATTTTCGATCCTTTCGTTAGATTTTCAATTATGATAGTACTCCTTCGTTTCCTAAACAAGTTAATTGTTATAATTTTTCGACTAATTACACATATAAATTCTATTCTTTTCCAGCGTCTTGTTGATTTTCTTTTACAACGTGTTCAATTTATTGATCTTCCCTGATATATTTTGGGTATTAAATGTTTATTTGAATATTGATCTTTCTTTGCATTGATTTCTGTTGCGGATTCTTCACTTACCTCGATGATTTTAAATTTAGTTCAAATATTTTTTGAAATTTTTTTCATCTTTTTGCTGCATATTACTTGATTATATTGGTGATAAATGTTGATATTTGCTTAATTATTTTTAACAAGTTACCTGTATTTTTATAGTTTAATATATAATTTATTTACTTAATTTTAATTTTTAATTATTTTTTTCGAAGCTCTAGTATTTATAAAGAATTTGTTTAAAAATGGTTACGACAATTGGACATTTGTGAGTTTTTAATTTTCGGCTAGAAAATTTTGTTAAGAATTTTTGAGCTTAATTTTTGCGGACAAAGTTATGATCTATTAAGGATTTTTGAGGGTGTTCTTTTTAATAACACTGCTAGCTTTTTCGGTATAAAGTAGCTTCCTCCTTTTTTAAATGATATAAATTTTGCTTTTCGATTTTTTGTAAATTCATTTTGTGAATCATTTTTGCATAATTGATGATCATCCCTTCTCCGTTCGTGTTAGAAAGCACAGCCCTTTAGAAAAAGCAAATCGATTAATTGAGAACATCCAGAAAATAAATTATTTTTAAGAATCCTTGACACTTCATAAAGACAATCTTTAATATTACGCAAATTTATCCGCAAAAATAAATGTACAAGAAATCTGTAAATTTTGACAAATATTCTTCTTTTAGAAACAGCAGCATAAGCGAGATTAATAGCTGGGTGGATGCTGTTGATCAAGAACATAGTTTGCGGGAAACTAGACGAACTGAGATAATGAAAGATGGACTTAAAATTGTTACCGATTTTATTGAAAATGAGGTCAATGGAACTAAGAAGATGTCGAAGGTATGTGAGAGATTTTAAAATTTTTCCGCATTGTTCTCCGGGTAAATTAAATGGGTCGCCCCCTTTTTGTAGGAATGTTTTGTAAATAATTTTGGCAATAGTGTATAGTATACCGTTGGAAAGGTTTCGATACAAGTCTCATACCATTTGATTTGTCTCGACATGCTGATGTGAGTCGAATGGTACCACTTTTCCGGACCAGCGGACCGAGATATAGATCCCCGAAAATCGAAAAACCATGGGGGGAGTAGGCACAATTTTAAAATGTTTTTGAACGCCTGACCTAAAGTGGGTTTTTGGGTCTTGCCAATGGGTACAATTATTTACCTGACATTTTTGTTCTAGTATATCTTTAATCCCTGTGTTATTTTGTAGGTTGTCACAACATACAAAGTCATTACAAAAAAAGTTCCTCGAGTCGTTGCAGAACGCAAAAAGTGGAAAAAGTTTGGTCAATCAAAAGATGATGGTCCAGGTCCTCATATCAACACAACTTATGTGGCTGTTGAAGTTGAATTACAATTTCTTCATAATAAATTTGGGGAGACTGACGACCTTTTAATGGATGAAAAGGGACAAGCAACAAAAGGAATGCATTGTCGTTTATGCAAATCTGATGAACATTGGAGTACTCATTGTCCTTATAAGGTTTTTATTTTGAAAGAAAAAATTGAAAAAAAATTTTTAAGGAGCATTTCAAAGGAAATGAAGATTCTGATTTGGCTGATAAATCTGCTGCTACAAGAATTGGTGGTGGTCCAAGTCAATTACCTCGTGGTACTTATATACCGCCATCTCTGCGAAATGTTGGTAGTGGGGCTGCTATTGGAGGTTAGTAAATATTTTGGTGTTTATTGTTTACAATTTGGGTATTCTTTTAAGTCTTAATTTTGACAAGTATCTTTTCGCGGGATTTAAGTTATGATTACTTTTATTCTTTCGGGATAAATATTTGAAGTTAGAACCCGTGTAAGAACTATTCGTTTAGCAAAATATAATTTGACTAACAGCTCATTGGACTTATAAAGCCAAACTTTTCGTGAATTCTTAATCTTGGCCAATTTTAGAAAGAAATCAGCTCTTTTCCGTTATTTAAAAAATTAAGCTCTATATTCCTGAAAAAGATTTTTAGTTTCTAATTTTTACCCAAAAATTTAAATTTTAGTTTCTGAACGTCATTCGGATGAGACAACTGTTCGTATAACTAATTTGCCTGAGGATTCTGATACTTTGGAAGATGATTTGAGGGGAATGTTTTCTAAAGCTGGAAAGATATTGCGCTCATATGTTGCTCGAGATAAAATACATAACAAGCCAAAAGGATTTGCTTTCATTACTTTCGCGCAGAGAAACGAGGCAGAAAATGCAATTCAAAACTTTAATGGAGCTAAATTTGAACATTTGATTCTTAAAGTGGAATGGACAAAGTTAGTTATTTTGTGAATAAAATTTGAAATAATTGTATTTGGTTTTAATTAAATGATATAAACAATATAGAGATATCATAAAGGAAAAATACAAGAAGGGGGAAAAAAGTCCGCATCCCATTTGCGGGTAGGTAGGACATCAACACCATCTAGTGAGCTCTAGTGGGGTTTTCTAACTAACAAGGAACCAATATCGAACTGTCAGGAGTACGCATTCTATTTAAGGACATCTCAAGGCATTTTTAGGCCCAGGGGTGTATCTAAAACTATGTTAAGGAGACTTTGTTCAAATCCTAATAGGATTTGAATTTTTCGTGATACATTCAAAAATAATTTTTTTAATATTAAATTTTTTTAGACCATCAACGAATTAAATACAAAAAGAATAAAGGGAAGAGAAAATTATTTTGACAATAAATATTTTGTTTTGTAAAGAAATTTGTGAATTGAAATAAAATTATATGTTGTTAAATATTTTGTTTTCCCACATTTAAGTTCTTGATAAACGAGACTGAACACCTAAAAAATAATAAATTAAAAAAATTTATTTTCAACAACCTCAATAGGTTACTTCATTTTTCACTGGTTTCATTGGAATTTGATATCTTGGGAAAATCATCTTAAACACTTCCATATATTTCTTCACAAAGTGTGCGATTATTCCACCTTTTTCTTTTTCGTTTATGTTGTTCCATTGATGCTCCATATTCTTTGGAAGAATGAGATGTTTTACGCCCAAACGTATTGCCGCTTTTAATATGACTGGGAGTTCCGGAACTTCTATAATTTCGCCAGAAAAACTTATTTCACCGATCATAGCATAATCTTAAAAAATATTTTTTTAATTAATTAAGAGTTTAATTTTTATCTATTACCATTTTCAGGTGCCATTTTTAATAAACACGAGAGCATTGAGCTAACAATGGATATACCGGCACTTTCTCCACTCTTCCACATTCCAGCCTGAAAAAAAAGAAAAAAATTTTTAACGAAAAAAAAACTAACTGGAAGTATATTAATAGCCAATTGTTTTTCATAAACATCTAAACCGAGTTCTTCTTCCATAAATAAAGAAGTAAAAGTCCTTGCAACAAAACAACTGTCTTTCACGCGTTGATCACAATTTCCCAGTACGGTTATTGGATTTGGTCCATTCTTCAAATCAGCACATTCAACGTAACCAAATCTGCCTACTGAAAAATAATGAAAGTTTAAAATGGCTTATCTTAAAGGGTTTTACGGCCTATCTGAAACTCCTTTTTCTCCAAAAAATTTTCTGTTTTCAGTTAAAGGTTAGCAAGGACTGTACTTCAAAAATATATGTATTAAACTTACATCCATCCGATGACCCTAGCAAAATCGTGAAAGTGCCAATTGGAAGTGTCGTGAAGAACTTTTCATCGTAACCAATAATTGAATGAACGGAGTCTTGTTGAGTGACGGCTGTCGCTAATGTCCATTCTATATTCTTTACCATTGAGAGCATTCTCTGAAATTTTAAAAAGATTTAAGGGTAAATAGAAGTATTTTTTCTATTTTTACTAAATTTATCCTAAAAAATAGGACTTTTTAAAACGCTCTTTTCTAGAAAGAGCTATTAGAATTTAATTTTTTTCTGTCTACTGAAAAATAAGACAAGTTTAAAAGGTAAAAGAAGTTTAAAAAACTTCACTTACTGCGTTGGGAAAACTCCAAGTATTGTTAGTATAAGTGCTGATAGACTCGGGAAATTCGATGTTCGGCATTAATTTTTGAATTTTTTGATGTTCTTGGTTTGCATTATTGCTTTGATGTTTGTAATTGTTTTTCTTCATTAATTGTTTGCCTTCTTTCTTTGATTTAATTTTTAATTTTCCCAATTGCTTATTTTGTTTAGGTTGCTTCTGAAAACAAAAAATTCTTTTCAAATAATAAAGATAAATATTCTACCTTATTCACTTTGTATTTTTTCTTTCCACATGTCAACAACAAGACGGCACAACAAACAAAAGAGTAAATCATCAAGCAATAATAATAGCAGTAGTTACAGAATAAATAAAACATTTGTTAAAAATTTTTAGGGGTTTAGGGACTTTGATGGTAAGGTTTGTGTAAATTGGTATCTTTTATAGTACCGGGTGCGGCAAATTAATTTATTATCAATTTTCATTAATTTTGAAGAAAGTTATGAGGCCTTAATTTGCCGCACTCTGTAATAATTTTTTGGCTACCAGAGGTGGTTAAACAAGCTGTATTTGGGAGTGTTGGAAATAGGAAAAATCAAAACTTAATTGGGAAAGTGAAATAAATATGTACGGGTTTGAAATCCAACCGTACTTAAAAATGACTCATATTTAATCACTTATTTTTTGTTTTATTTCAGGATTACTATTCGAAAGTCTATTTGTTCTATTCCTTATATAATTTTAGAATGCTTTGTCTGTTTCCAGCTTTGTATTTTGCGAGACTTGTTGTTGTGTTTGGCGTTGTGTTTTTTTTAATAAAAATGACAGAATATCCCAGAAAAGAAAAATAGTAATTTGTATTTAGAGGGTTAAAGGCAGGGCTCGCATCGACAAAATGACAATCAAAAGTATCAAAATCTCGATTAAAAGGTATATAGCAGGGTTGCCGCCCGAAACCCAGCCTTTTTTTGTACCCGAAACCCGATACCCGAAAAGATTAATCTGAATTTAAGTTATTATTATAAATGTTTTGAGTGAGATACTCGAAAAGATTAATCTGAATTTAAGTTATTATGTATTATAAATGTTTTGAGTGAGATTTTCGCGTTGACAACCAATAGAGAACAAAAAATTTGGGTGGATTTATGGCGACCTCTTCGAATTTCGGATATTACAAGATATCGAATTGTTTTAAAGAATTAACAGACAAAAACTTAACTTTAAAGAATTAACAGACAAATATTTTTTTAAATTTTTATTTTTTATTTAATTTCTTTGATTAATTTTTTTCATTTAAATTTTTAATAGATTTTTGAAAATATTTTTTTATAAAAATAATTTTTTAGAATAAAAAATATTTAAGTTATTTTTTTCTTATTTTAAGAAATATATATTTTTATTTTGTTAGATTTAATATTTATTCGTTTAAATTTTTTGAATAAAATTTTTTTGAATATATTTTTTATATTTTAATATTTTTTTAAATTTTTATTTTTTATTTAATTTCTTTGATTAATTTTTTTCATTTAAATTTTTAATAGATTTTTGAAAATATTTTTTTATAAAAATAATTTTTTAGAATAAAAAATATTTAAGTTATTTTTTTCTTATTTTAAGAAATATATATTTTTATTTTGTTAGATTTAATATTTATTCGTTTAAATTTTTTGAATAAAATTTTTTTGAATATATTTTTTATATTTTAATATTTTTTTAAATTTTTATTTTTTATTTAATTTCTTTGATTAATTTTTTTCATTTAAATTTTTAATAGATTTTTGAAAATATTTTTTTATAAAAATAATTTTTTAGAATAAAAAATATTTAAGTTATTTTTTTCTTATTTTAAGGAATATATATTTTTATTTTGTTAGATTTAATATTTATTCGTTTAAATTTTTTGAATAAAATTTTTTTGAATATATTTTTTATATTTTAATATTTTTTTAAATTTTTATTTTTTATTTAATTTCTTTGATTAATTTTTTTCATTTAAATTTTTAATAGATTTTTGAAAATATTTTTTTATAAAAATAATTTTTTAGAATAAAAAATATTTAAGTTATTTTTTTCTTATTTTAAGAAATATATATTTTTATTTTGTTAGATTTAATATTTATTCGTTTAAATTTTTTGAATAAAATTTTTTTGAATATATTTTTTATATTTTAATATTTTTTTAAATTTTTATTTTTTATTTAATTTCTTTGATTAATTTTTTTCATTTAAATTTTAAAAGATTTTTGAAAATATTTTTTTATAAAAATAATTTTTTAGAATAAAAAATATTTAAGTTATTTTTTTCTTATTTTAAGAAATATATATTTTTATTTTGTTAGATTTAATATTTATTCGTTTAAATTTTTTGAATAAAATTTTTTTGAATATATTTTTTATATTTTAATATTTTTTTAAATTTTTATTTTTTATTTAATTTCTTTGATTAATTTTTTTCATTTAAATTTTAAAAGATTTTTGAAAATATTTTTTTATAAAAATAATTTTTTAGAATAAAAAATATTTAAGTTATTTTTTTCTTATTTTAAGAAATATATATTTTTATTTTGTTAGATTTAATATTTATTCGTTTAAATTTTTTGAATAAAATTTTTTTGAATATATTTTTTATATTTTAATATTTTTTTAAATTTTTATTTTTTATTTAATTTCTTTGATTAATTTTTTTCATAATAAATAAATTTTTTATTCAGACCAAAGGGTATACAATATACCACTAAAATGGTTGAGTGTGTACAAATAAATGTGAAATTTGTATTATAAAGAGTTTTAGACATTTCAAAGTAAATAAATAGGCACAGGTAGTTAAGTTAATTTAGGAGATATTTTAACTTTTTTTTGGTTAAAAATGTTTTTTTTAAGTTAACTTTTGCTTAAAAAGAGAGAGAAAAATAAATTGTGAAAAAAAAGGTATGTAAATTGTCAAAAAATATAAATGTATTGTTAAAAAATAAATTGTTAAAAAAAAATATATATATATGAACTAACTAAAAAAATAAATGTATTGAGAAATATATATTGGGGGGGGGGGTGTGGAAGAGGCGTAAATTAAAAAAAAACATGATGAGTGAAGAAAAGGTTAAAACGCTCTTTAAATTGCTAAGTGAAGAAGTAAATAAGTTAAGGGCAATATACCCATCCTTTTATTCAAATTGTGGTATTAATTCAGGGATTCTTCAGTGTTTAGGTTTGAATTTTGGTTTGTTGAATTTAAGGTAGTATTTTTAATTTTAACAGAATTTGCGGTAGGCTATGTTTTAAATTAGTTTTGAAATTATTTAATGTATGTCCTATAAATATATTTCTTGGGATTAGGTTCCAAATATTTACTGTCCGGTTAATGAAAGAATTGATTGTTTTGGCATTTTTATTTGAAACCTGAATGATAAAATCATGCTTTCTACTTGGACGTGTATTTAATGTAAATAGCTCTTCGGGGATTAAACTGGTATGGTTAAATAGTATTTTATACATTGTTATTACGTCTGTATAATACCTTCTAAATTGTAGGGTTTCGAGCTGAAATAATTTTAGTCTATCAGTGTATTTAAGATTTTTTCTTCTGCATTTCAAAAGGGCTGACTTAGTAAAAAATTTTTGCACCCTTTCTAAATCTTT